GAGCCTCCCTCGCCTTTCTGCTGCCTGCGCGGTTCTCAGATCCGCACGGACTGGTCCCGGGCGGGCGCTTGTCTCTCATCGCCACGGTACACGGCAGAAACGTTCCCCTCCAAAGACCCCAATGTATGAATGATCCCAAGAGATCTTCAGACCCCCGGTAACGCCCCGAGCGGTGCGAATCTGCGGGCTGTTGTACGACGGTAAGGCATGCTTTCTTGTTGCATTTGGGGCCCAGGAGGGGCCGGCAGCCCCTCCCCCTTCCCTTCTTTTCTCCAGTGAGAGAGTCGAATCTTGGTATGCTCACGATCGGAGGATCCTTGAAACACAGCTCCCCAATCAACGTCAGCCTCGTTGGCGTCGCCCCCCGGGGGCCCGGAGGATGAACACCCCCCTCCTCCACCCTCCAGAGGTCCCTGTTCCGATCTAAATTACACTCCGTCGCCCAATCCCTCACCAGCATCGGTTTCTTCCTTCTCATTCCTTTCCTTTTTTGCCTATCCTAGTACCCTTTTACTCATCACTCTAGATTTCACGTCTTCTTCTCCTAGTCTCTTTTGTCTCTTTGCTCTGTTATCAATTATATGGATACCATTGAGCAACAACTCTCGTCATAACTCATCCTAGTCTTCAGCGGAGGTAATTTTTCGGAACAGGGAAAAGGAAGGAAAGTCCCAGGAAGGGCCGAGCTAGGAGAAAAAGGTCGTCTCGCAGAGTTTCCTACAACACCAAGATGTTATTGAACGACTGCTTCGCGCGGCTACCGCACACGGCCGCGATACTGCTTCTCTCGAATATCTTCGCCCTGACCGAAGCCGGCGCTCTCCCCCGTCAAACAGAACATGCTCAAGTTCACATCGCCTACCGCACATTGGACGTCCGTAGCTGGCCGCTGGCAACACCGGCGCCATGGCTGGGTATCATGAGGAGGCAGGATGACAGCACCAATACAGTCTGCGGGTACCTCGGCGGTGACCCAAATCTGCCGGCGACATGCTCTGCTGGTTCCCACTGCGCCATGGACGCTTCCGTCTCGGCCATCGGCTGCTGCCCGAACGGCGCCGCCTGTACGACGGGTGTCTACACGAGCTGTGTCGACGAGAACAGCCCCACTCAAACCGCTTCGGATCCGTACATCTTCACTTGCCAGGGCTCTAATGTCTGCTACCGCAATAGTTTCGATGGCGGTGCTTACCAGTATGGATGCGGCACGACAAGTCAGGGTACGACTGTTGCTGCTACTGCTTCAGGACTCAGCACCACGGTGGCCATCACGCACATCTCAGGCCTCGTCACGAGACAGGAGACCGCTTCATCGAGTAGCTCTTCCTCCAGCAGCTCAAGCTCGTCGAGCAGTTCTTCTACGACTTCAAGCTCTTCGAGCTCAACCACCAGCTCCACGACCAGCTCATCGTCAACGACCTCCACAACGTCATCAGAGTCATCAACCTCGTCTGCGCCAGCAGCCACTAGCAGCGCTCCTCCAGTAAACGCCGAGGCTGCCGCGGCAGGACTGAGACGTAACGGGGGCATTATCGGTGGTGTTATCGGCGGCTGCGCTGTATTCGTCGCCCTCGTCTCAGTAGCACTCTGGATGCGCAAGCGCAAGCGTGGCAACAAGCGTCTCGGTCCTGGCGCTGGCAAAGGTCCCACTTATGTGTAAGTCCAAAACCTGTCCATGACCATAATCACCAAGTCAACGAAACTAACTTCTCCGCAGCCCCCAAACCAACCAAAAGGACTTCACACCCGTGCCCGGCGGCGAGGTGATGTTCGACCAGGCAGGCTACGGCCACCCATCCATGATGCCAGGCGCCCACGGCAACACCACCTCCATCAGCGGAGGCCGATCCGCCAACAGCCCGCCGTCGTCCGCCCCCCACGGAGGATATAACCCCGCCAGCGGCGCCTCTGCGTCCGGCGCGTCCCGGTCGACGGGGGACGACACCCCGCTCACGCACCACGGCGAGATGGAGGAGTTTTCCAGAGGGTATAATGACGCTGTTGGGCGTGGGGGTGAAGGGGGACACAGAGCGACCAGTTCGGGTACGGATGGGAGCCCTTACGGCGCTGGCGCTGGGGCGACGAATGCGGGCCAACGGGCTGATGGATCTGAGGAGAGGCCGTTGTGGCAGCAGAACCGGAGGCAGAGCCGGAATCTCATGTGGATGTAAGATGGTATGAGGTCAGGAGGTTTGGGTGGGTTGGTTGGTCAGGCTCTGGTGTCTTGGAGTTTTGGATATATCTTGACATCATCAAGGAGGGACAAAATTGGCCCTTGTAGACTCGGAGTTGCGATGCTCCTAATACGTAAATAATTCGTATCACATCATTTGATATTTCTCTTCTGGAAATCTAACATGCTGTTAGCTCTGTCCTGCCTAGCCCATGGCTGCTATCTTGAGCCCAGTTCTATAAAACTCTCGACACTTACCATGCCTATGAAGCAGTTCAGCAGCTATAAAGAGATAGAGTCCACACAGCACAGATCCAGATTACCCTTGCTAGTCCAGCCCATATACAATCTTCTTCATAACCCCCTGATCAACGTTTCCCCCACAAAGCAAAACAACACTCGTCTGGCCTTCGACATCCTCCTTAACCTTCTCAAACCCTGCCAACGCCAACGCAGCAGCCCCCTCGACAACCATGTTCTCCTCCACCGCGATTCTCCTCATCGCGTCCGCAATTTCCTCCTCGCTACAACCAACAACTCGATCCACCACTTCCCTCGCAAGCGGCAGCGTAATCGAGTCCTCGTCCATCCCGCCCGCCACCGCCTCAGCAAGCGTAGGCAAATGCTCCGTCTCCACAACCTTCCCGGCACGGATAGACTCCGCAAGAGCCTGCGAATTCATCGCCGCGACGCCGTAGATCCTCACGTGCGGAGCGAATGCCTTGAGAACGGACCCGATGCCGCTGATGAGTCCCCCGCCGCCCATGGCGACGAAAACGTTGTCGAGCGGGCGGATTCCCTGCGCGGCGCACTGTTCTAGGATCTCGAGAGCGATTGTGCCCTGGCCTGCGACGACGAGGGGGTCGTTGTAGGGCGAGATGTAGGTGTAACCCTCCGAGGCGGCGAGGTGTTGGGCGTGTTGCTCCGCGAGACCTGTTTCTGCGCCGTGGAGGATGACGGTCGCGCCGAGGGACTTGATTTTGGCGAGTTTGGCGGGGAAGACCGTTTCTGGGAGGACGACGGTGAGGGAGCGGTTTAGGGCGTGAGCTGCGTGGGCGGCGCCGATGCCGTGGTTTCCCGAGGATGCTGTGATGAGCTTTTCGGTGTTGTTGTGGGAGTCGGAGCCGGTGGCTTGGGATGCGGAGATTTTGGAGGTTGCGCCGCGGAGCTTGAAGGAGCCTGTGAGCTGGAAGTTTTCTGCTTTGAAGAGGACGCGGGCGTTGGCGTCGCGGCCTGTTGTGCGGGCTGGGAGGAGGGGGGTTGTGTAGATGTGGGAGGCGATGCGGGACCTGGCTTGGACTGCGCTGGCTGCTACTTCGTGGATTGAGAGGGACATGGTGGTGTGTGGTGATGGAGATTCCGAATTTGAGCGATTGGAAATGTTGGACCACGGTAGTATGGTACTGTAGACCGAGCTGAAGATGTAAAACCAAACCCGGTTGTAAACGATGTATCTACGCAAGTACTTTATAGAACACTCTGAGGACGTCTTGGAGATGTACGAATCAGGGACTATGGTACTTTGGATCTGTTAAGGTACTCCGTACGCCCTGTTGATGACGGACGACCCACTCAAAAGGCTGCATTCCTGATTGGCTTGAGTACCATTTACCGTTTAGTGATGCAAGGCGCCGGATCCTTCCGACTAAAGTCCCAGCACCGTCTGCAGTGTAACGATGGCTCGGAACCGGGCCGGACTTATTGTTGTTCGAGTGCGACTTGGGTCGGCAACGGCGGGGCCCACAATGCCGTTAGATGTATCCACTAACGCCGTCCCGGGACCCGGGAACCCGGATGAACCCCGGATCGGATCCGGAGCAATCTGGGCTATTGATAAGGCAGGGCACCTTGAGATAAGGTTCCTTGGACCCTGAGCTCGTGCCATTACTCGGCCGAAATCGGATTCAGCATTTACTGTCATGCAAAAAACAAGATGCATATTTGAACGGCACAATTACAATGAGGCGTCATTTCGCTACCTTATGATTGAATCCCATCACCGCTCATTCTGGCCTGGCTGATTTCGCAAATTGACATTGTCTGATTGGCTCAACGTGGCCATCATCATTTCAAGACGCAACATGGATAGGTCCTGTTAAGGCCCGGGCTATCTAAACCCACAACCCGGAAGGGTGAAATTGGATGGTTAGGTTCTGCGGTCTACCGTTCTGTGCAACGCTGTGTGTGGCTGGCTATCAAAGTCTCAACCAAGATCTGGGGAATGTCGAGACCTTGGAGGACTGGACGGTCTAGAAAGGCCAGAAGAGCCACCGATACGATATACCCCTCCGGCCTCCGGGCGGTGAAGACTTTTTTTCGTGAATTCTTTCCTGACAGTTGGTGACTTCGTGGCCTCAACTGACTTGGCGGTGCATTGCCCGCAGGGGTCCTTGGGATTGCCAGGGCCACTTCAGCCAGTTGTGTGCGACGTTGCCCTCTTTTATCAGCGCCCCTGCATAAAATTGCCCACAAAAGCGGACCCAGCGGCGTCCGAGAAACACACAATGCGGTTAGGCCAAGACAGAAACGCTGCTAGAAGCCAAGTAAACCACCCCGTTACCACCCCCCGTAGGCCCCCGTAGCCCCCCCCGAAAAGGGCCCAGGGCCCCCCCAAATTCTGTTGGTGGTCGCGACCCGCGTCGGAAACAGCTCCAGCTTTAAATCTGTCCACACCTTTTCCACAGGCGGTGTCTCCAACTACATCTCCAACCACCTTTCCTCCTTTGTATCCCGATACGCGGTTAGAGAACGAAGCTGCGCGCGACAAAAATCGAAACCGCGGAGCTTTCCCTTCTAACTTAAGCACCATCAGCTTACATCGTCCATCATGGCTGACGAAAAGCGCAAGGACGGCGCGCAGCTTGAGGGTGACATCACCTTCATCGCGACCCCTGCCGCGAAGCCCTCCACGTTCAGCACTGGCGAGGACTGCGGTGTCAAGACCACCAACGTAAGGACTTTCTACCAAAACCCCTATCCCGCGGATTGACTCAATCGACTGCGAGCAATCACAGACAAGCTCAATTTCTTGCCTCCCTGCGTCTCTGACCCAAAGCTGACCTTCTCCTGTCCAGTACCCCACCATCAACAACCCTCCTCTGCCTGCCGAGGGCCCTGGCAATGAATCCTTCTCCAACTGGATCCTCGGAGCTGTCCTCGCCGGTGTCCCTCTCTGGGTCACCCGCATCTTCGGCGGCGGTCTCAAGACCTTCATCTTCTTCTTCATCCTCTTCGTCGTCCCCCTCCTGATCGCCTTCTGGACCGTCTCCTCGAGGTTCTCTCCCCGCATCAACGACAAGGCCAAGCTCCCCGGCCGCCCCGTCGAGCACTACCTCACCTTCAAGAACGAGGAGGACCGCAAGCAGTACAGCGGCCGCAACAAGATCCCCATTCAGAATTTCGCTGAGCTCTACACCGAGGGCCTCGTCGACATCAACGGCGACCTCCTCGACGCCCTCGAGTACCGCCACGACTGGTCCAACTTTGCCTTCACCTACTCCCTGTTCCGCTTCATCTTCCTCGAGTTCGCTCCCGATGTCATCTTCCACTCCCGCCAGCAGGATGAGGACCAGATCAAGCCCACCTACGACAAGGGTAACGACCACTACTCCTACTTCCTCGGTCCCCGCATGGTCTACACCAGTGGTCTCTTCTCCGACCTCAGCCGCGAGGAGACCCTCGAGGAGATGCAGGACAACAAGATGGCCGTCGTTTGCGAGAAGCTCGGCTTGAAGGAGGGCGAGACCATGCTCGATATCGGCTGCGGATGGGGCACCCTCGCCAAGTTCGCCAGTGTCAACTACGGAGCCAAGGTCACCGGTGCCACCATCGCCAGCAACCAGGCCGCCTGGGGTAACGACGGCCTCCGCCGCGCCGGCATCCCCGAGAGCCAGAGCCAGATCCTCTGCATGGACTACCGCGACATCCCCACCAAGAAGTTCAACAAGATCTCCCAGCTCGAGATGGGCGAGCACGTCGGTATCCGCAGACTCACCACCTTCTTCCGCCAGTGCTACGACATGCTCGAGGACGACGGCGCCATGTACGTCCAGCTCTCCGGTCTCCGCAAGGCCTGGCAGTACGAGGACTTCATCTGGGGTCTCTACCTCAACAAGCACATCTTCCCTGGCGCCGACGCCTCCACCCCGCTCGCCAACTACGTCGGCTGCCTCGAGAGCGCCGGCTGGGAGATCAAGAGCATCGACACCGTCGGCGTCCACTACTCTGGCACCCTCTGGCGCTGGTACCGCAACTGGCTCGGCAACTCCGAGACCGTCCACGCAAAGTACGGCCAGAAGTGGTACCGCATCTGGGAGCTCTTCCTCGCCTGGTCCGTCATCGCCTCCCGCCAGGGCAGCGCCACCTGCTTCCAGATGGTCGTCGTCAAGAACCTCAACGCCACCCACCGCATCGACGGCTTCTCTTCCCAGTTTGGCCTGTCTGGCGCCCTCGCCGCCGCCAAGGCTGCTGGCAAGGCTGTCTTCCCCCGGTCGACGTAATTGTAGAAATCACGCGACGCACCCTCCACTTTTTTATGTGCGAGGGTGTAAGAGTGTGAGGAAAATGGCTGTATGTGTCCATGAATGGAAATGAATGATTTTCCTCCCCCTCCCCTTTTGTCCTCCCGCGGCGACCCGACCAAGGTTTTTCTATCTTTTCTCTCATCTGGCTCCTGGGGCCGGGGGATGGCAAAACAAGAAGATGGGGCGGGGTGGAGGAGAACGGGCTTTTACGTTGTCATATTTTGGAGGTCGGGGCTTTCTTATAAAAGTTTTTGATCCCATACACAGGCTAGATAGAGAGAGAGAGAGAGAGAGAGAAAGAGACGCGCGGGATGGTTCTGAACCCTCCCACAGTGCTCCAGTGCTAGAGTCCCGGTTTCGTTACCGGGTTTCTAGATATAGGGGAGGAAAGGTGTTCACGAATGTCGACATGTTGTTGATGTTAATGAGACAAAAAGTTACAAGCTGATGTTGCTACCTATCTCGTGTTGCGTTGTCAGTGTTGATATGTATGCGCTCAGCTGGCACCTCCCATCAAAATATCCTAAACTCCACCTCTGCGGGCTCAGTCTGAAGGAATTCACCGAACATCATGCCGTCTAGGTATGCGTCCCCCCCGAAGTAAAAGTGCCCTTCAGACCGTTCCTTCAAGACAATGGGACAAGATGCCCCCCAAATCAGCGTCACCACATCGTCTACCTCGACTCCAACGTGCCCGAGACCAACCCTCCCTTTTGCGGTCTTGAACAGCGTGCGGTTCCTATTGGTCGCGCCCAAATATCTTCGCGCATCTTGCGCAAATCTGCTCAGATCCTCGTCAGTTACACTGATGTATTCATGGGATCTCGAGGGGCTGCGGCTTCGAGTGTCTGCAATAATGAACACCGTCTCTTCTGTGGTCAACGTCGCCGCATCTAGAGCCTGGACTCGCATGATTCTCCGCCAAAGGTCGGTGACTTCCGCAGTGATTGTGTAGCGATGATTGTCCTTGATCTTCCGGTAATCGGCGCGCCTGAGTATACGCCAAATGTGGTCTTCTTCAGGGTCAGGCTCCGGCCCAAGACCGGCGAATTCAATGACCGAAAGGAACCAGTCATCGGGCCTTTTCAACGTGGGCGCAGTGTAGACATCGACCTGCTCCCATACGGGAGGAGCCATCACTTCCGTGACTTTATCGACGTAACATCCTTCCTGGAGTATGCTAGTTCTGCCGTCGTGTATTACCAGGCAGTCGGAAGCTTTCCGTCGCTGCTTTCTCTGTGCCGCTGCTTCAAATTCATGGCTGTAGCTAATCGGCCATGTGGACACACCGTATTGGCCAATGACTTGCCAGTCTGGCACCCATGTCGGGAGCGTGCCATTTCGGTCTTCTGGGACTGTGGAATCGAGACGAAAGCGGGAGGGCCCGCCACCAGGAGAATCAAGTATAGTGGTCGTAATATTGACAAAGACATCCTCCTTGGAAAGCGAGTAGTCTACTCGGGAGCTTTGTTTCTCGTTTTCTTCGAGTATGCCAAGTAATCCGAAAAGAATATCTCTCGGGTCCGTGGCAGAGTAATGAGGCCGCTCCGGGGCGACGGTCAGCTCCCATAAGATGTTCTCCAGCCTTACGCGAACACCTCGTCGACGTTGGTACCGCACTCCCAGAGACTTCAATCCTCTGAGCGCTCCTGATATCGGTAAAGTAAACCTGGTCCAGGATGGATGGTCGAGATGGACTGCACCCCGATGATCCCACAATATCCTGAGAGCAGCGTCGAAAATATCCAACAAGACGCTTCTATTTCCAGCAACTACAACAGAGGTGTTCCGCGCGAGTACTACTTCTTGAATGATCCAGATGCGTTGCCAGTACTCTCGGTCAAGGAGATCACGAATCGCCTCGCTTATTCGTCGTGAACGGTGTCCGAAAAAGTCACAGAAGATGTCGTATACGGCCAGCCTAAATCTTATCAGGCATTCTCTTTCCTCGATTTCTGATTTTTCCTTTGGTGTGGAGTCTTCTGTCGTTCTATAAGCTTCCTCGATGGTCGTCATTGACTCGGTAGGATTGATTGCCTCGCCCTGGGTAGAGAAGCGCTCTTGGATGTATAACTTGACCTCTTGATTATCCCTGAATTTCGACCTCAAGTCTACAGCGTCGCACTTATTGAGTGTGGTTCCAGTCCGGGAAATAAAGTCCATAGCTAAATCACTGTTTTCGGTTCCGGGGCCCAACCACACGTAGACCATGTCGGCGCCGCTGAAGATATCCCGCATAGTACCGATCTGCCAGCTCTTCTCCTCTAGGTTGGCCTGTTCAATGCAGAGCGCGTCTATCCAGAACCAGGAGTCGACCGAGTTCATTTGCAGTTGCTGGAGCGCGGCATGAAGGTTCAAGGTGACGCTGAAAGAGGCACCTTCGATCTCAATCGGCGCCGTGTCGGTGGCGCTCCCCCACACGTACGAGAGTGCCGCGTATGACAGTCCCGGCTCGTCTAGCGAGGCGTGTTTGATTTCAAGTGCGATCGTCTTCTTGGCGCTGACTTGTTCGTTGGGCGGGGGGCGGATTCTGACGAGCCTGATTTCTCGGCGACTTTCATTGAGGGGGGCGTGAGTGAACATGTTTGCGCTATACGGCGGTGTAATGAAGACATAAACTCCTGTCTTTACTAGGCTTTTGCTTGAAACTAAACACTTTTGTACGACGGACAGGTTTGAGCGAGGATTAAAAGGCTCCCAAGGGCATGAGTGTGTTGAAGAAGAGGTGGTTCAGAGAGGCAGCCTGCACCATGAACGTTGATCGCATAAGAGGGATTTCATTGGTTGTTCACTTCCAGCCAGTAATAGACGGGCTCTATCTGTCGTGGAAAGGATTTCAACACGCACTCGTCTGCCGAGGGCAAGGCATCCGCTCGTACTGCTCTGGCATATCAGACTGGGTATCCCAACTTTCGAAGGACGGCATAGATTTCTTCAATAGTCGCTGCCGGAGTCCCAGTACCGCCTTGCTGTTCAGTCTCATCAGTCTCGTTACCATGCTTCTATTCCACTTCTCGTCGCTGCCAGTACTGAGGTCTCGCCTTGCCGCGTCTCCTATACACCCCGCCCCCAAGCCTCTTCAAAAACATGGGATGGCCCTCACTTGTTGGATTATCCGAGTATCCAAATTCGATGGAAGGAAGCCAGATCGGACGGGCCAGAAGGTTTCCAGTCTTGTCCCAGCACAAGGGAACGCCCTGCTGTTGCGTCTCCATGCGCGACCAGCAGGCTTAGCGGCAGCGTTGTCTAGCTGGCTATGGTAGTGTATCACCGACGAACATCTCTTCGAGCAGCTGCCATATGCGACGTCGGTTGTGTAGACCACCAGGTACATGGGCTAAATCAATATGATAGCCAATCCCTGCCATAGTTGGTTTGCCTTGAGGACCATTGACACCGGGTGTGGCCCTGACAGTGTCAGGTACATTTGGGAGAACCCCTTAGTCGACGCCCCGACTGAGCTGCCGCACCAACAGCTCCAGTCCCATTCGAAGGACTCACCACCGGGACAGAGCTCAGAGTCTTTTGCGTCGACACAAGCTGGGTCAATATCCCACAGCCAGGGTAGAAGACCGCGGGAACCTGCCTTGAGTTGATCCTTCCATAATCTCTGGGGTAACTGGTGGGATGACTCGGGAGGCATGTCACGCCCCATAGCCGCGAGAATGTTATCGAGAATCTCGGTCGGCAGCTTGGAAAGGTTGTCGGTAAGCATGGTACCTTTTTTGGTTCGAGTGACTTCGGATCGGCCGGTGCGTAGATTTTGGAGCAGGCAGCTCGTCAGTTCTTCGATTTCCAAGGGGCTACTAGTGAGAGTCTATGTACATGTCAATGACCAGCGATGATGCAGACAGCACGACATGCACTTACATAGTATAGAGTAGATAGAGTAGAAGGATAAGGACCAGGCCAATGCAGCCCGGAGAAGTCTTCTTCCTCCCAGGTTGGCTCACCAGCCACGGTGGATTGAGGCACATGATAGTCGTTGCGGCTGAGAGTGTAGTTTACTTGGGGAAAATAACCCGACGAGCTTGAGCATTTGGAACTGATGCTCTGTCTTCATCTTAGAGCTGTCCACAAACCATGCAGATCTCGCACATGTGATAGCGTTGAGGACGCGAATACTCGCTCAGCGATGTCCAAGCATTCGGCGTGGACAGCAGCGTAGATCCGGTCATCACATGTTTACCCCTCGCTAAGATGAAGACTGACATGCTGTCGGCCACCGTCAGGGTCAACTCTGAGGAGCTTGAGCGCTTCATTTGCTTCAGCAACATGAACCTCGATATCTGAAGCTTGAGATCTCGGCCGAATATCACATGTGTGAGGTAAATCGTCAAATCCTGGCAACTGATGTATAAGCCTTTGTGCGTAGTTTGGAAGGAGGTTCCCAAACTCGTCGTCAGGATCGCAAAGTAAACGGGCTTCTGTGAGCCATCTCGAATTGTCCTCCAAGTCGCCGAAATCTTCCAATTCCGGAGGATTAACGACTTCGCCAGTTTCGATGTCCTCTAACATTGGCCCTCCATATAAGACCGCGTAGATGGATAGGCGCATATTTGACAGATCCATCGAGTTTTGTCCATGCCATCCGAACACACGGCGGAGAGGCTACCCGGGGAACGATGATCAATATGTCGAGACGCCCGGGCTGAGGAGCAAGCTCTATCTATATCAGAGTGAGGAGGAAAATAGGGGATGCGCCGAACCAAGTATACACAACTCAAGAAGTATGTGTATCGATACGCGACGGGAGGTAATGCTCGAGGAGTCGTAATGTCTCTTGGGAGAACTTAGGTCAAATCTTTCAATGTCCATGGCGAGGCGTTTTGTGCAGATGGACGTTGGAGGGAGCAGGCACGAGCGGCCTCAGGTTCTCCACATCTTGTTCTGGCTGTGATTCGTGCGCAAAGTGAGAGGCACGTATCCTGATAGCCAACATACTGTTGGAAACACGTAGGCGCTTGCCACCTTGCCATGTTTGTTTGGGGGCTACCGTCATTGTTGGAATGGGATAAATGCCCGACACCAACCATAAGGCCTCTAAAATTAGCCAGATCTAGCAATCAAGACTATGTCTCAAGATCCGTGGGTTACCACTAACAAGAACTCTGAAAAGCTGTTGGTGTCTTGTTTGAGAAGGTTTGCAAATGCACCCTGCAATTACAACACTGGCGGAAGCTTTTGGTGAGATACCAACTGAAGTGGTTCAACTTTGGCCTCCATTCTGGATCGGCTGAGAGAAGACGCTCATCAATGGAGAACCCAGTGGCATCAGCTGTTCAAGCGTAAGTGAGAAACTTCCCTTCAGTCCAAAGGAACTGTACTTAATGACTTTCTAAGAAAGTCGAATACAAATGACGCAGATTGACTTCCAGGAGCAACCCGAGCATGTCTTTGCGTGCATTGGGCTATCGAAGTGAGGAAGCATGAGGAGTGAGTGAGTAACTGTCGGAGAATCTTAGTTTGATGCAGGTTTCATTTGAATGAGACGGAACTCTAAGTTCTTGTGATACGCTGGAGTTATTATGCATATTTCATTCAATTATGATTTACTTTGTCGAAGTCCCCGAAGAAATCTCATTCGACGTATCCCATCGAGTGCTACAAGGCGACAGTACAATGGTCTCCAGCTTTTCTCCAAATTCTCTAAGATATGAAATTTTTGATTTGCGGATATAATGGAAATTAATCGGAATAACGCCTGTTTAGTTCTTCTCCCGCACTCGGATGTACTGTCGCCTTGCAGCACTCGATGGGATACAAAGCCTAGTCGCCATTTTCCGCACCGTCCTTATACGGCATTGTATGGGTTTGGAGTTGAACTTCTAATTATAATATCAGAAGAATGGCATTGTTGCTCTCAGTTTTTTATGCACATTGTGCTCTTCCATCTTCAAGTGACATAGTACTATCAGATGTACTGCACATACGACGGGAGGCAGGGGATCATGAAATACACTCTCGGTTGAGATCACACCTGAATATGACTACAAGTCATTGGTCTCCTTTGATCTGTTTGAAACTCAGCCACAATGTTAAAAGTTCGGATCACTGAATATTTTCTAGGCTATAGTTGATGGCAACTGAGTTTGTTTGTCACTTAACCCTTGAAAAATACCATGGCAAAGCCCTGGTGAGCACCCTTAGCAACTCCCTTCAGCTCTTGATGTGCTGCGCAGCCGTTGTCATAGTAGTCCATGTCTTCTTTTGATGAAAATGTAGAGATAGCCGCAATCGTGAACCCTTGGGCCCTTTGATCAGCAACAGCTAGGCCGGCCTTCACTGAGATGATGTACGGCTTGCCATCCTACAACTTGTGAGCTCAGAGTTCATGATACGATATCGAAACAGTGCTAGCCAGATGGAAATTGACTCCGTAAACAACAGCCCAGGTGGTTATACTCACTTTCAAGGCCTTTTGGGGCATCTGCTGATAGAGCGACAATACTTTATTTTGATTCTCCTCGTCTGGGATCTTGAAAAGAGTGATTCGCGTAATTTGTTCAGACATTTCCGTGAAGTTAATGACTTGGGTTTTCTAGAGTATCAAAAGTCACGAGGCAATTTGGTGTCGTTGTGTTGTGGTAACTATCGTGTAATTCGATCAATAGCTGACGTTAAGACTGGAACTTGGCAGACCCAACCTTCCCGCAGATCAACTTTCTTGTCGGGTGTTTTTACACTCGGACAGATAACACAGAAGCCGAGAAACTTCCATTGCCGAAGATCCCTGAACCGCCGGCAGCGGCAGATTCGTGATTGAATGAGGGGGTTGTTTGCATTCCGAGCCGTCGGAACCAAATTTCGGATTCTCGGAACCCACCATTTCGATGGCTGTCAGGGCGATCATGGAAATGTAAATAGAAGCATGTTAATACACGGGATCAAACAAGCTCGAATTACTAAGGTGTTCATTCAACAGAATTGCTGGAGACTTTCCACGTCTAATTGCGCAAGATGAAGTCTTGGCTCCCCATCCCACCCCGGTCGCACTTTTCGCTGCTGAACATTCCTTTCGGGGTGATTTCGAGCAAAGATAAGCAATTACACAGACCCGCTATCGCCATCGGAGAACACATCCTCGACCTTGATGCTTTTGCTACGGGCGGAGGTTTCAGTAAAGCAGCAAATGTGTCTGCCGAGCATGCAAAAACGTTCTCACAGCCCACCCTAAATGCCTTTGCCGAGCTTGGCCGACCGGTGCATCGCGCCGTCCGTTCATACCTTCAGGACATATTTCTCAACGACACAGCTCATCCAGACGTGTTGAAGGACAATGAACCCCTCAAAAAGGCGGCTTTGAGGCCCATTTCTGAGGTGTCTATGCACCTCCCGTTCGCCATTGGAGACTACACAGACTTTTTTGCGGGCAGAAACCACGCTCACAACGTCGGTGTTCTGTTCCGTGGACCAGCCAACGCCCTTCAGCCGAATTACAGCCATTTGCCCGTTGCCTACCACGGTCGTGCAAGCTCAGTCGTTGTCTCTGGAACTCCTCTTAGACGGCCTTGGGGGCAGGCGCTGCCGGCCCCTGGCGCAACCGAGCCCGTTTTCCGGCCATGTGCGCGCCTCGACATTGAACTCGAGATGGGCATGTTTATAAGCAAGCCGAACGACCTTGGTAGCCCGGTGTCTGTCAAAGATGCCGACGAGCACATCTTCGGCTACGTCTTGATGAACGACTGGAGTGCAAGAGATATTCAGCAATGGGAATATGTACCCCTTGGTCCGTTCAACGCGAAGAATTTCGGAACCACGATTAGCGCCTGGGTCGTGCTTGCGGACGCACTCGAGCCATTCAGAACGAAAGGGCTAGAAAACGAAACCCAATTGCAGAAGTATCTCCAAGAAGATCGGTCTGACAACGTTCTTGACATCAAGTTAGAAGTGACTCTTGCTCGTAAGTTGGAACCTCCCGACTACCATACACATATGGCAAATGTGCTGCGTTAGAAAAAAAACCAGGCTAATCTAAGCACGCTTTTCTACACGATGCAGCTTCAGAAGGCGAGGAAACAACTGTTACTCGCACATCTGCCAAGAATCTTCTCTGGTCCTGGCCGCAGATGGTGGCTCATCACTCAATCTCTGGCTGTAATCTTCGTGCTGGAGACCTTCTCGGATCTGGTACCATTTCAGGGGACCAAGCAGGGACGCAGGGAAGCTTGCTGGAGCAATCTCAAGGAGGCAAAGTCCCAATCAAGCTGAATGGCGGGCAAGAGCGGAAATTCATCCAAGACGGCGATACGGTAGTTATTCGAGGCTGGGCTGGCGAACAGGATGGTCAATTAGTTGGGTTTGGAGAGTGTGTTGGCCAAATACTGCCTCCAATTGCAATGTAAAGCAATGAGAGGCCTATGAAAAATTGGCGATTTTAGAGTTACATAGTCAATAAATCATGCCATCAAAGTCACATAATACCACAGCTGGGAAGTGCGGCTGTTTAAGATGCTATATCTTGCTCATTTTTATCGAACAGTGATGGACAGGCACAACCAACTGGTATTTTGCAGATTCTAATACTGGATGTATTTTCTTCAAAACTGGTCATCAAGGGAAACTGAACTTCGAAAATTATGGCTGCATGACGAGTCCATTCCGAGAAGGTGGCCAATGAGCTATTGCATTATTCCACAACTGCAGACATTTGGCGGGCTTGGGGCTTCCTTGGCGTTATGCAACAGCTGAGTCACTTAGCTGATAGAAGCTCAAGGTCTAGCTGAGATCTGATGTAATCGTATCTCCCCTCCTCTAGATGTCCACGCCCTGAACGTTGCCGTGTTCATGAGCCGCAACTTATTCGGAACTGTTTGTGTTCCGCAGTTCCGAGTGGACGCACGAATTGACTTCAAACACTGCATCTTGCAGTGAAAGTAATTTTCCGTGACAGTTAGTTCCGTAGCATTGGTTCCATCATGTCTCATTTGCCTTTCCCTTCGGATCACTGCAACGCGGGGTTGGTCGCTTCGACTGCAGCGGTGCTGTCCCAATGTGCGCATCCCAATCACACGTGCCACCCCAAACATTTAGATAACCAAGGCTTCTTATACTACATAAGATTTGCATTCGAGGGAGATGATAAGCGCTGTTTCATACCAAACAATTGAGGCATGCTTTCAGGATACGTTCATTGCCTACCTTATCAATCTTCACGACTATAACTGTGTTTCGGGACTACGTTCCTCATCCAGCATACAACCATGCCTGTGACCAATTTCTCCACTGAGGAGAAGTACGAGTATCTCAATGGATTTGGGTCTCTTCATGAGTAAGTTCAGGCTTCTTGAATTAGTACTAGTGCCGAACTCCATTATTTCGTCAACCTGGTGTTGACCAACAATCATCTAGATCAGAAGCGATCAAAGGGGCTCTTCCTATCGGTGCCAATTCTCCACAAAAAGCGCCATACGGCTTGTATGCCGAGAAGCTATCCGGCACTGCGTTCACAGCACCTCGTCATGAAAACCTTCAGACTTGGCTTTATCGTATCATTCCAGCGGCCGCACACTCTACGTTCGAGCCGTTGAGGCAGAACAGACCTGACTCCGGAGGCAAACTTCACCAAATCCCGAATCAGTTGCGCTGGGATCCGTTTGACATCAACCATGAGACAGATTGGATCAGCGGCCTCAGACCAGTCGGTGGCGCCGGGGATCCCAGCATGAAGACGGGTCTCGGGATCTTCATTTTTGCTGCTGGTCGAAGCATGGATTCCAACATGGCCATGTACTCTTCTGACGGAGATATGTTGATTGTCCTCCAGCATGGTGTGCTTGACATCAAGACCGAGCTGGGCAACCTGCTAGTTCGTCCCAACGAAATTGCCGTCATTCCACGCGGTATCAGATACCAAGTCAACCTACCTAACGGACCAGTCCGAGGATACATCCTTGAGCTCTACCAAGGTCATTTTGTACTCCCGGAATTAGGCCCTATCGGTTCCAACTGTTTGGCCAACGCACGGGACTTCCAAGTTCCGACGGCAGCCTTTGATGAGGACGCAAGTCAGTGGTCCATTGTCAATAAGTTCAACGGAGATTTCTTTATCGCAACACAGAACCACACGCCATTCGATGTTGTGGCCTGGCATGGACAATATTACCCATACAAGTACGATCTTGGGCGCTTCTCCGTCATAGGCAGCATCTCATTTGACCACCCGGATCCATCCATCTATACGGTTCTCACTGGCCCGTCAGACCACCCAGGCACGGCTGTGGCCGACTTTGTCATCTTCCCGCCTCGTTGGCTTGTGCAGGAAGACACCTTCCGCCCTCCATGGTACCACCGAAACACCATGTCTGAGTTCATGGGCCTCATCTGCGGCGACTATGACGCAAAGACTGGTGGCGGCTTTCAGCCTGCTGGAGCAAGTCTGCATAACGTCATGTCTGCCCATGGCCCTGATGCTAGCACGTTTGAGAGGGCGTCACATGCCGAGTTAAAGCCGCAGAAGATCGGCGAGGGAAGTATGGCTTTCATGTTTGAGAGCTCTCTGATGATTGGAGTGACGGATTGGGGCTTGGAGACATGCCAGAAGGTTCAGAAAGGATACAGCGAAGATAGTTGGACGGGACTGGTGTCCCACTTCAAAAGGCCGGAGTAATGTGTACTGTCATAAGCGGGTTGGAATTCGTATCATTAGGGCAACTATATATGAAACATATTGTATCAAGAGGTTGAGGAGATAGCACCTTGCATCGATACGTTGTGTAAGGCAAGTGTTTTCAAGCGATCTCGTCACTTGTTTGTGCCTTTATTAGTTCGCATGAGCTCTAAGTTTCTTTTCTTCGGAGAAACAGATTGGAAGTTGTTCAACACTAAGATGATGTGACGTATTCACTTATGCTTCGTATAATACTGGCTGAAAGCGCATGTATTTCACCATACTTACAACCAGATAAGGGAGTACATGGCTAGAATCCAATCTCAATTGAACACACATATACGTTGGCCAAGGACGTACGGCACTACAGAGGTCTCCAAGCCAATCCTCCCGACGATGCTTTGATAGTAGCGCAGAAGGTTGGAACAAATTGGCCGTATAAAAGACAGTAATTAATCATGAGGTGACAGCTCCCTGGACCGACCTTAACGCTCAATTGTCCCGAACTCCTTCCACAATATCCGATACTACAATTGGAACCTCAAACTTTGCCCGGCCTCGGATGAAATAATAAGCAAGACCGAAGACTAACCAGCCTGCCATGACAACAGTAGAATAGTTCATGTTTTGGGCAGTGACCGGTTGTGATGAAGGGAACGTGCTGAAAATGATGACAACAGTCATCCAGACAAGACTGATCGCATTCAAGACCGGACCCAAAACCGGGCCCAACCTGAAAGGCCCGTACTCCTTGCGAGTGAGCTTGCCCCTGCCGACGAACAACATATAAGCAATAGGAATACTGTAGGAAAGATAGATGCCGATAATCGCCATAGATAAGACTGCATTGAAAGCAGTAGTGTTGGCCAAGTAGAGAAAGCCGAGAAGGATCTGGGCCACAGTAACAAAGACTATTGAAGTTACTGGGACCTGAAGTTTCTTGTTGACGTAACTGAAATGCGAGTCGAATGGAACAGCTCTGTCTCTAGCGAAGGCCCAGAGCGTGCGGGAAGCGGAGGTAATGCCGCCTACTGTTGCAGCAATTGCGATCAAGATCACCAGGAGCGAGAGCACTGTCGCCCCAGCCCGAGATCTGGTGACATCGAGGTAAATCTGCATGAAGGGGAAGCCGGTTGGTGTAGTCAAGAGGGACTCCAGTGACCCTGTCGAGAACAGGAGGACTGTGCAGTAAATGAAGCCCATCAGGCCATTCACAGTTACGCTTCCGACCATAGCAATGGGGACATTACGTGGGGCGTTGGGGATCTCCTCGGCCATATGACAAGCAGCATCGTACCTTTTGTGAACCAAGTCAGCAACCCATTGAGGGGATCTTAGATGGAAAGATAGTTTATAGAGGAAACTTACCCAAGGAAAGGATACACCGCGCTAATCAAGCCCACGAGCCACGACACTCCATCATTTTCCCAGCCGCTACTATTGACGACTTCGGTGAAGACGAAGGACGCGGTATTTTTGGGAGCCATAACGCCAAGAACCACCAGTATGACTATGAAGCCCACAACGTGGAGAATACCTTGGCATTGTTAGCGAAGGTTCGCGTAAATTGATTTAAGGTTTATTCTTCTTGTCTTCCTCACCTGAGATCATGTTTGCGTGGGGCAGCATCTTTGATCCCCAGATGTTGAGCGCCGCTGAGTATAGGAGCACAGCCCAGTAGAACAACATGCCCTGCCATCGTGCCGGTATGTAAGAGTCGTCGTTGATGACGATCAAGGACTGGGTCTGCAGGCCAGCTGCAAACGCCGCTGATGCACAGAAGACAATGAGGCCGCCCACGGAGATCCAGCCGGTCGTGAAGGCTGCGAGTGATCGGCTACGAGGGGGACACAAGGCGGCGACCCAATGATACTGACCTAGAATGGAGTAATTAGCTTTGAGAAGGTAGAGGCCAGGGTTTCAGAGAAGCTTACCTCCTGCAGTAGGATAGATGGACGCAATCTCGCCAAGAGATGATGCTATGCACACAGAGCACAGAAAGGAAAGAACACTGAGCAGACTGTCAACCCATGTTCGACGACTTGGAAGTTCTCCACTGCGTGACAGACACAGAATAGAGTGGCTAAATAAACTCACAAGTTGTAGAATAGGCATGGCGCACCGCCATTCACGAGTGCTTGAGCAATGACAGTGGAAAGTGCTTCCCATGTTGCCATAAGACATAGGCATAATGCCCCCAAGGTTGTCAGAGAGAATTGCCGCTTCAGCTCCTGCTGATGGCCGAGTTGCGCGAGCCGTTCTTCATCGGAAAGGACTAGATAGCCGGGGATGCTCTCAACTGCCTTGAGCTGGTCGTCGGTCTTTGTTTCGTTCTGATCCATGATGGAGTTTCGAGCCATTCTGTCTGAATCGCTTCTTGTTGTTGAGTGTTTCCTACACAACTTTGTTTGCTTTCTTTCTTATTTCTTTTCGAGTCCGGAACACGGAATTGGGGTACCGGGCACGGCGGATGCAGAATTTTGAGGAGTAAGGGGATGTGACAAACTGATAGTCACGCGGGTATGTCGGGGATTGGGATTACCCAGCGCGAACTATCAGCGCCAGTCTGGCTTTGATGATGCGGCAGCAGCGGCACAATGCCTAGCAGAATAACTATTGCTAATGCTTTGATCTTAACAGGCTCTTGGTGTTTCTAGTTGGATGGGAATCGCGTTCAGGGCTGAGGAATTGGTGACAATGCCCGGTGGCGGCGCTTGACCGTTCTCGTCGAGAAGC